AAAATTTTTTTAAAAATTACAAATTCAATTTCTTTAGAGATTATAGGGCAATTCAGATTATCCGGTTCTTCTCTGTTGAGTTGTGATAATTTTTGGTTTTCAAGATTTGGGCCATTTCTCATAAGTTGTCAGATTTATATATAAATATAAATATAATAAATATGTATATAAAACTAGTCATTGTATTCTCTTTTTTATAGTTGCAATATCTGTAAAGATATCCTCTATTAATTCCTGATAGTGGTGATTTTTGTCAGCTTACAAGGAGTTTATCAATTGCATTGACTTTTTCAAAGAGCCACTGTTTGTTTTATGAATTTTTATGTTGTTTTTCTATTTCAGTCAACTAACTTAGGTTTTTATCTAAATTATTTCCTTCTACAACAGAAAGGAAGCGGGGAGAGGGAAAAAGGATGGGAGAAAGGAGTGGTAGTATCATTATATTCTTAGAATGGTATCTGTGAACTACCTGGAATATGTTCTCTATTAATATCAGATTTACATTAAAATTGATGAGAACTGTGTTATAGTAACTATCATGCATTTACTGAAACCCTGAGAATCTAATATATCAATAAATTCCTTAAAAATAAAAAATAAATAAAATTTTTAAAAAAGAATTATTTGCCTCTTTCTACTTTCTTTCAGTTTATTTGGTTCTTTTTCTGAATTCTTGAGGTAGGAACTTAGATTATTAATTTGAAACTTTTCTGATTTTGTATATAATGTGCACATAATTATTATGTGTATATATTTTAAAATTGGAGAGAGGTGTCATATACCCTCTAATCACTACTTAAATGCCCACAACAGCTGGAGCTGGGCCAGGAAGAAGCCAGGAGCCTAGAACTCAGTCCAGGTTTCCCATGTGGGTAGCAGAGACCCAAATACTTGATTCATCACCTTCTGGCTCCCAAGGTATGCATTAGCAGGAAACTAGAGTGGAGAGCAGAGCCAGGATTCAAACCCAGGCATTCTGATATGGGTATGGGTATTCCAGGTGGCAACTTAACCACCATCCCAAAAGCTCACCTTTTAATTTCCAGTGTAAACATTTAGTGCTATAAATTTGTTCCACATTTTGATCTGTCGTGTTTTCATTGTCATTCATTTCTATGCATCTTTGAGACTTTCTCTTTGCCCAATGAATTACTTAGGAGTGTTTTGTTTCATCTGTATATTTGAAGATTTGTTGTTTTTCTGTAACTGATTTCTTGTTTGATTCTATTGTGGTTCGAGAACACTCTCAGGGCCGGCATCGTAGATTAAGCTGCCACCTGCTATGCCAGCATCCTATATGGGTGCCAATTTGAGTTCCAGCCACTCCACTTCTGATCCAGCTCCCTGCTAATGTGCCTGGGAAAGCAGCAGAGGATAGCTCAACACCTGGGCCCCTGCACCCAAGGAGAGACCTGGATGAAGCTCCTGGCTCCTACCTTCAGTCTGGCCCAGCCCTGACCATTGTGCCATCTGGGGAGTAAAACAGCGAAGGGAAGATTGATCTCTCTCTGTTCCCCTCCCACTCCCCCTCGTCCCCTCTCTTCCTCTCTCCCTCTCTCTCTCTCTCTCTCTCATACACACACACTCTTTTTCTTTATGTGTGTGTGTGTGCTTGTATTTAACTCTGCCTTTCAAATGAAGAAAACAAATCATCCTTTTTAAAAGAGGAAAACACGCTGTATGATTTCAGTTTTTTAAACATTTATTTATGTTTATTTATGGCCAAAGATACCTTATCAAATGTCCCATGAGTGCATAAATAAAGTGTGTATCTTACTGTTGTTGGAGAAAATGTTCTTTGTCAATTAGATCATATATATTGATTATGTTGTTTATATATTCTATCTACTTGATGATTTTCTTTTCAGTTCTATTTCAGTAGTTCTGAGTGGAAATCTGGAGTTCCCAAATATAATTTTTGATATCTCCATTTCTTCTTTCAACTGTACTGTGAATTTTCAGGTCCCTCATGAATTTGGAAAATTTGATATCATTTTGCTCCTACCATTTTTTTAAAAAAGCAGCAATCAATATTCCTGAAAAATGGGTCATGAGTAAAGAATGTGTAGATGTAATTTATCCAGCCTTACTGCAACATAAAAATAATGCAGTGGCCTTGGCATACTTTACTTAAGAACTACAGTTGTACCTCTATCACTGTCATCTGTTTCCATGTAAAAGAAAAATCATTACATGGGAGCAGCTGAGGAGTCAGGCCACGTTTTAGGTTTTCTAGGATATCACTCATACATAACTGTAGTTTTACATATCTGTTCATAATCATCTTTGGTTATCTCTCCTGGAAGTAGCTTTATGTCACTGTAAGTAAGCATTGATGATATCAAAGATTTATATTCCATCTTGAGAAGTATTTATGGATTCTTTGGTGCTAAATAACAAAACGGTAAATCTCTACTAGGCCTTTGAAAACTACAGCATTCATCACATGATCTAGCAGAAGAAACAGACTTTGCCTAAAGCTTGCAAAAGTATGCTATTCTGGTAAATTCCATAACAGTTCTCATCATGGGAGTGGGGTAGAACATTGGGGAGAATATTGCTATGTATTTCTATGATGTTTGGAATTTTATAATTAAACAATGATCATAAAATCAATTAATAAACATTGTATATATGATAAAATCCTGAGTCAAGAGTGGGAATAAGAGAGGGAAGAGATGTGCAATTCGGGACATGCTCAAGCTGACTTACCTCAAACGGTAGAGTTAGAAACATACCAGGGGATTCCAATTCAATCCCATCAAGGTGGCATGTACCAATGCCATCTCACTAGTCCCAGTGATCAATCTCTGTTCACAATTGATCATAATGATAGGACTAAGAACAAAAGGGATCACATAAACAAAAATAGTGTCTGCAAATACTAGCTGATAGAATCAAAAAGGGAGAGAACAATCCAACATGGGAAGTGAGATACACAGCAGACCCATAGAATGGCAGATGTCCTAAACAGCACTCTGGCTCAGAATCAGCCCTTAAGGCATGCAGATCCAGCTGAAAAGCCCATGAGAGTATTTCAAGCATGGAAAGCCAAGACACTCTGGGGAAAAAAAAAAAAAAAAAAAAAAAAAAAAACCTAAATGAAAGATCTCTGCGAGTGAGATCCCAGTGGAAAGAACAGGTCATCAAAGAAGGAGGTACCTTTCTCTGAAGGGAGGAGAGAACTTCCACTTTGACCATGGCCTTGTCTAAATATGATCAGAGTCGGTGAACTCAGGGGGCTTCCATAGCCTTGGCAGCTCATGACAAGAGCCTAGGGTGATTACTGAGGCCATAAACAAGAGTGTTAATTTGTTAAGTCAACAATAGGAGTCACTGTGCACTTACTCCTCATGTAGGATCTCTGTCCTTAGTGTGCTGTACATTGAGATTTAATGCTATAAGTAGTACTCAAACAGTACTTTTCACTTTATGTTTCTGTGTGGGAGCAAACTGTTGAAATCTTTACTTAATGTATGCTAAACTGATCTTCAGTATATAAAGAGAATCGAAAATGAATCTTAATGTGAATGGAAGGGGAGAGGGAGTGGGAAAGGGGAGGGTTGCGGGTGGGAGGGACGTTATTGGGGGGGAAGCCATTGTAATCCATAAGCTGTACTTTGGAAATTTATATTCATTAAATAAAAGTTAAAAAAAATAAAAATAAGAGGGAGAGGCCGGCGCCACGGCTCACTAGGCTAATCCTCCACCTTGCGGCGCCTGCATACCTGGTTCTAGTCCCGGTAGGGGCGCCGGATCCTGTCCCAGTTGCCCCTCTTCCAGGCCAACTCTCTGCTGTGGCCAGGGAGTGCAGTGGAGGATGGCCCAAGTCCTTGGGCCCTGCACCCCATGGGAGACCAGGAGAAGCACCTGGCTCCTGGCTTTGGATCAGTGCAGTGCGCCGGCCACGGCGGCCATTGGAGGGTGAACCAATGGCAAAGGAAGACCTTTCTCTCTGTCTCTCTCTCTCACTGTCCACTCTGCCTGTCAAAAAAAAAAAAAAGAGGGAGAAATATTTTTTAAAGGAAAACCAGTGTCGATAAACTCAGTGCCTAAGAAGTGAGTATGCTATGCTTGCTCCAGAGAGGCTGTTTTCTTTTACAAATTCCATTTGGTTTTCCATTGTATGACCGACAATTTAATGAGCCACTTTAACTGGCCTTTCCCCAGGGTTAACTCACAACTCTTCCTAAATAATCCCAGAGTCAATTTACTGGAGCAGGTGTTATTTTCTAGGCAGCTCTTGCCAAAGGGCAGCATAATAATTAACAAGCTTTAGATCTGTAGGATTCAAGGTCTCATTTTTGGCAACGAATCTATGTGCCACACTCACGGTAATACTTTTGTAACTCACTGTTTTAAAAGGGGATTTTCACACTAACAAAGAATTAAGTATACTTCCAAATATTTACTTCTTTTTCACTGAGAACAACTCTTAAGGGCTTAGGGGCTGTATCACTCCATGCAGCAAAATGAAGCTCTGTTTTCTATAAAACTTGCCATTGTATTTCAGGCCCCCTCTTACATTTCAGATATTTCTCATGCTACCAAATACCTAATGTTAGGTGCACTATATGAGGGTACTTCAAAAGTTCATGAAAAACAGAATTAAAAAATAAACTTATTTTGGTGCAATAAATTGTTGAATTCCATGCATAATTTTTTATAATGAGCATTTCTACAAACTTTTTGAAGACCCCTCATATATTCCAGATGAGACAAAGCAATTATTCAGCCTTCACATTTACTATTAAAACTGACTCCTACATTTGCAAAGTGTTGGTGACTTTGAGAAGAATAGCATTCCATGCTGACAAGGTGAGGCTCTGATGTTCTTCAGGTTTAGACTCATTGGGAGAAGAGGAGATGTCCTTAACTTCAGACATTAGTATCTGGATGTTTCAGACGGAGTGCCTAAATGTCCATAAATACTCACAGAGTTTCTTACCATGGTTTATTCCACAATGCTTCTCTCTGACATGGCTTATCTGGTATTTCAGGAGTTCGTGATGATTGTCGTCTTTGGTTTGGAGTTCATCATTCGAATCTGGTCTGCAGGTTGCTGCTGTCGGTATAGAGGATGGCAAGGAAGATTAAGGTTTGCCCGAAAGCCCTTCTGTGTTATAGGTGAATATCAAAGTCCCAGATATCTGGATTTATAACACTGCATTCTTTTCTATTGTTTCCTGTATTGCACCACTTGAAAAATATTAAAAATGTAATACCCATGGAGTACTTACCATAGACCAAACACTCTCATATTGTTAAAGTGTTGACTCAGTTAATCTTCACCATAAGACTGGGAGGTAGATATATTGTTATGTCCATTTTACAGATGAGGAAACTTACACAAAGAGAGAGGCAAAGAGGTAGCTGCAACTTAAGTATCATAAGTGGTAGAAATGAGATCTCGGCCAGGTGATCTGACTAGAACACACATTCATATCAATCGTACTTAAATATATGATTCCTTTTTTAAATATTTATTTATTAATTTGAGAGACAGAGTTACAGCAAGAAGGAGAGACAGAGAGGTCTTCTATCAGCTGGTTCACTTCCCAGATGGCCAAATGCCGGAGCTGTGTCAATCCAAAGCCAGGAGCCAGGAGCTTCTTCCAGGTCTCCCACATGGGTTCAGGGCCCCAAGCACTTGGGCCATCCCTCCACTGCTTTCCCAGGCCATCAGCATAGAGCTGGATTGTAAGGGGAGCATCCAGGACTCAAACCAGTGCCCACGTGGGATGCTAGCACCAGAGGAGTAGGTTTAACCTTCATTACCATAGCACTGGACCCAAGAAATATATGATTCTTCAGCATTTCCCTGGATTAGGGAAGCATTGGCCTCTGTAAATATAAATTACCATTTTTGCTGTACAGTAAGATACTGGTTATGCTCTTGATCAGCTGGAATAGTTATCAGTGTATTACTAATAGTTCATATCAATAAGCATACTTCAAGAGTAATTTTTTTTTTTTGACAGGCAGAGTGGACAGTAAGAGAGAGAGACAGAGAGAAAGGTCTTCCTTTGCCGTTGTTGGTTCACCCTCCAATGGCCGCCGCGGCCAGCGCGCTGCGGCCGGCGCACCGCGCTGATCCGATGGCAGGAGCCAGGAGCCAGGTGCTTTTCCTGGTCTCCCATGGGGTGCAGGGCCCAAGCACCTGGGCCATCCTCCACTGCACTCCCTGGCCACAGCAGAGGGCTGGCCTGGAAGAGGGGCAACCGGGACAGAATCCGGCGCCCCAACCGGGACTAGAACCCGGTGTGCCGGCGCCGCTAGGTGGAGGATTAGCCTAGTGAGCTGCGGCGCCGGCCGCTTCAAGAGTAATTTTTACATGCTAGTTTTATACCTGATGACATATTCGATGCTCTGAAATATGAACCCCTCTATACTGCAGTCTCCAAAAACACGGCATGTCTCTGCATCTCCCTGACTGCTGTGGTTTCAGTGGGACTTCTTTCACCTGGATTCTAGCCTGAAGTTAAACTTAGTGATGCTACAGAGCATTATGGAGTTAAAATCTGGCATCTCCCAATAATATATTTGAAAGCATATCATAAAATTTAAAATTTTATATATTAAAACTATCAGGATTGTTATTTGACAGCTAAATTTTATTTTATTTCTCATTTGTCCTGTTTCTTAGCCATTCAAACCCAAATACCAGAAGATTTTGGTGAGGTTTACTTATTTCAACCACTTCCAAGCTAAGAAAATGGCTTTATAATTTACAAGGTAACTTGAACAGTCTTGTTCTTCTAGAGTAGGTTTTCCATTTTGCTTCAGGAGAGAGGAAATTTTCTTCCCTGATGCCTATTCCCTGGATAGAATCAGAGTGCATTCAAGAGGAAAGTGTCACCCTATCCATGGACATTGTCAAAAGGAATCCTTTCGGCCGGCGCTGCGGCTCACTAGGCTAATCCTCCGCCTTGTGGCGCTGGCACACTGGGTTCTAGTCCCGGTTGGGGCGCTGGATTCTGTCCCAGTTGCCCCTCTTCCAGGCCAGCTCTCTGCTGTGGCCAGGGAGTGCAGTGGAGGATGGCCCAAGTGCTTGGGCCCTGCACCCCATGGGAGACCAGGATAAGTATCTGGCTCCTGCCATCGGATCAGCGCGGTGCGCTAGCCACAGCACGCTGGCTGCGGCGGCCATTGGAGGGTGAACCAACAACGGCAAAGGAAGACCTTTCTCTCTGTCTCTCTCTCTCACTGTCCACTCTGCCTGTCAAAAAAAAAAGAAAGGAATCCTTTCTAAGAGATGTTTGTTCATGTCCTTTACCCATTTATTAACTGGATTGTTTGCTTTGTTGTTGTTCAGTTTCTTGAGCTTCTTATATGTCCTGGATATTAATCCTTTATCACTTGTATAGTTTGTAAGTATTTTCTCCCATTCTGTTGGTTGCCTCTACTTTGTTGAGTGTTACCTTTGCTGGGAAGAAGCCTCTTAGCTTGATGTAATCTTATTTGTCTAGTTTTGCTTTTATTACCTGTGTTTCTGGTGTCTTATCCAAGAAGTCTTTGCCTATGCCAATGTCTTGGAGAGCTTCTGCAGTGTTTTCCTCTAGTACTTTGTTGGTTTCAAGTCTTAGTTTTAGATTATTGATCCATTGTGAATTGATTTTTGTACACAATGTAAGGTCTAGATCTTGCTTCACACTTCTGCTATATGGAGATTCAGTTCTCCCAAAACCATTTGTTGACGATGCTGTCCTTTCTCTAAGGCATGATTTTTGCTCAGTTTTTAAAGATTAGTTGGTTGTAGATGTGTGGATTTATTTCTAGGGTTCCTACAAATGGCTAACAGACACATAAAAAATACTCAGGATCACTACCCATCATGGAATTGCAAAAAAAAACACAATAAGGTTTCACCTCACCTGTTAGAATGGCAATCAGTCAAAAGTAAAAAATAACAAATGCTAGCAAGGATTGGAGAAAAGGGTTCCCAAATATGGTGTTGGTGGGAATGTAAACTACTACAACCATTTTGGAAGACATTATGGAAATTTCTCAGAAATTTCTCAGAAAATAAATCTACAGTATGACCCAGGCACCCCAGTCCTGGAAAAATACTCAAAGGAAATGAAATCAGCATATGAAAGAGTTAAATATACCCATGTTTCTAGCAGCTCAATTCAAAATGGCTAAGATATGAAGTCAACCCAGATGTTCTTCAGCTGATGACTGGGTAAAGAAAATGTAGTATATATACACGACAAGTAGAATACTACTTGGCCATGAAAAAGAATGAAATCTGTCTTGCAACAAAATGAATGCAACTGAAGACCATTATTCTTTGTGAAATAAGCCAGGTCAAAAAACAAATATCACATGATTTTTTTTATTTGTGATAGCTAATGTATACAGTACAAAAATAACTGAAAATATAAGTGAAATTGACATCTTATTATCTGATAATTATTTATAGCTCTTGGCTATATTCCTGTGAAATAGTGGTCCTTCTACTTTTTTACTTGCTGAACCTTATATTTAGTGGAGTATTAAGCCTCTGATTACAAAGTAAATTGAAAATTGTTATCATGAACATTAAAAGAAAAAAAGGAAAGAGGAGGGAAGTAAAGAGGAAAGAAGAAAGGGAGGAAGGGAAGGAAGTATTGTTATGTTCTTAGAATGTATCGTTGAAATACATGAAATCTGTTCTATTTATGTTAATAATAAAAAAGCATTTAAAAAAGAAGAATCTCTTCTTCCATATGTGTTAAAGAGAATGCACATTTCAGAAGAATTGCCATTCATTTGTCCAAAAATTATGGAGTTTTGGCTTTGTGTGAGGCATTGGAGTTACAAATAGTGAATTTAATGAAATTTAAGTTAAATCAATCTTAAAATACTTATTTGGCCTCCACTACTGCACTCCCCTTATGCAGCTTTCTTTCATCCAAAAATATGCTCTACTTCTCTTTGAAAGCTGTCATACTAAGACAAAGAGGAAAGTCAGTGGTAATTCCCAGCCTTGCAGGTCCAATCCAGCCCCCCAGCATATTAATGAAGACATTTTATTTTTCCCCATGGAGAATTTTTTCTCTTTATGAAATCCCTGGTCAAGCAGCATTATGAAGGACTGTAACTTGATGTGAAACTACAGCACAAAAAGTACTTCCTGTCCCATAAGAGACCCAAGCAAAACAATGCACAAGGCAGATTGTTGGCCAAGATTCTCTCAACTTCTACAGAATAAGGTTGGTTCATGGATGACTGCAGGAATGTTCTATTCCAGATTTTAAAACCAATTAAACTTTGATTTTGTTCCAATTCCAGAGGCAATGCCTACGTATTTCTGGCCTCTGAGCTAAAAGGAGAGTTGTTTCCCAGATGCCTACTGCCTTTTGATAGCTGCTTTCAGCTATGGGTACATCAGCACATCCTAGTCCTTTAATCTTTAGTTTCCTGTCTCAGATTCTTGTGATGTTATCTGTAATCTTATTTGCCTTAGGACCAATCATGACCTTGCAAGTTTAGTGAGATGTGGCTTAGATATAATTGCAGTAGCAGTTTCATTAACCTTACAGGTTATTTCCTTTGTTTGGATAGTTCACCTCTAGTAAATTAGTTGTGGAAGAAAATTTTGCAAGTAAATATGTAATTGATTCCCATTAAAAATAACTGGGTATTTTCAGTCTTTTATTAAACAATCATGTAACAATTTGAGTCATAGTCCAAGTGAGTAGATATAAAATGAACCATGAATATGCAATATGAGTCAATAAAATTTAACCTATGCAAAGGAATCAAACAATACTTTCTGAGAACTACAGGCTATACCAGATGACTATTGACACTCTCTGGACCTAATTAATGGGTTCATAAAAACTCTAGATATTGTTGTTCATAATAAAATGAACTTAGTATTGTCCTTGTTTAACCAAATTTATTTTAGCAAAATGAAAAAAGTAAGAGCATCTCTCTCTTCCATACATGATCACTGTTCCGAGAGAGTTCAAAAATCTAGTTTAAACCTCTCAAGATGCCATATGTGTGTGTGTGTGTGTGTGTATATATATATGGCTAATTATTCTGAATATGCCAAATCCACACCCAGATATTTTTTAGAAGTTTTGAACACTCAAGAAAAGAACATAGAAACGATTGTGGCAACCTAGTTGTTATAC